GAGCCTCCCAAAAACACGTTGGGCGTCTCGTGCTCCTTGCGCTCGGCTGGGCAGGGCCCGGGAGACGCGTGGCAGAAAACGCCAGGGTTCCAGATGGTGCCCAGGCCGCCCGAGGCCTCGCCGCGGCTGCGCACGGAGGGGCGGGGGGCTCTGCAGGCCGGGCTGCACCCCGAGCTCTGCTGGGGGGTCCCCCCCGGTCTGCTGAGTCAAAGTCTCTTTGCCCGTCTCCCCTTCCCGTGGCAATCTGCTCGTTATCTCAATGCTGCTTACATTTCTTATTACTTTATGTTCAATGAATCTGCTTATTGTCTCTATATATTATATGACTTAGACTATTTGGCTTATATCAATAGATGCTGCATTCCTTGTATGAAATTAATCTTATCATATCCACATATTATGTTACTTCCCATATTAACCTGCTTAACGTATCTACATATTGTATTACATATTATATGAAATCTGCTTATTCTATCTACTTATTATATTAATCTGCTTATTATATCATTATACATTATATTACTTAAATTTTATTAATCTGCTCGTTATATCTATGTATTCTATTACTTATATTAATCTGCTTATTATATGTACATATTATGTTACTTATATTTCATTAAATAAATCTGCTTATATCTATATATTATCTTATGACATTAATCTGCTTATATCCATATATATTACTTATTATTTTATATTCAATTAATCTGCTTATTATATGTATATATTATATTACTTTTATTAATCTGCTTAAATCTACATATCATATTACTTTCGTTAAATTAATCTGCTTATATCCATATATTATATTACTTATTACATTAATCTGCTTATATCCATATAGATTGCTTATTATTTTATATTCAATTAATCTGTTTATTATATCTATTTATTATATTACTTATTACATTAATCTCCTTATATCCATGTATATATATATATATTACACTATATTAATATGCTTATTATATCTACATATTATATTACTTATATTGTATTAAATTAATCTGCTTATTATATCCATATATTGTATTACTTATTACATTAATCTGCTTATATCCATATATATTACTTATTATATTCAATTAATCTGATTATATCTATATGTTTTATTACTTATATTAATCTGGTTATATCAATATATATTACATTACTTATATTATTTTGAATTAATCTTATATCTTATATTATTTATATTAATCTGCTTATCATATCTACATGTTATATCACTTATATTTTATTAATTTAATCTGCTTATGATATCTATATATATTACTTACGTTAATCTACTTATATGAATATGTTACTTATATTTTATAAAATTAATCTGCTTATTATATGTATATATTAATCATATCTATATATTATATTACTTATATTAATCTGCTTATTATATCTACATATTATATCACTTATATTTTATTAATTTAATCTGCTTATTATATCTATATATTACTTATATTAATCTGCTTGTATGAAAATGTAACTTATATTTTATTAATTTGCTTCATTATATGTATATGTTACTTATATTAATCTTATATCTGTATATATTATATTGCTTACATTAAATTAGTCTCATTATATCTATATATTTTATTACTTATTATATTAATCTGCTTAGTATATCAATCTGCTTATTAAATCATTAGAATTCAGTCATGGGGTTTAAATTCAAAGATGGGCTTTCACCATGTTGGCCAGGCTGGTTTCGAACTCCTGACCTCAGATGACCACCTCCCTCCTCGGCCTCCCAAAGTGCTGGGATGACAGGCCTGAGCCAGTGCACCTGACTGAGACTCTGTCTTTGATTTTAAAACTTAAACGGAAAGAAAAGAAGGAAACACAGAGATTCCTCTTTTTAGTAAATCGAGGCAGAATGAGCTAAGATGTTTGATGATATTTGTTTGCATTCTCGAGCTGCTAGAAAGTCTAAGTAAACAACAAAAACTTTCAAATTGAGTTGTGCACACATTACACCATGTCCATAGGACATAACAGCTCACAGATATAATATACACTACGGATAAAAATCAGCCCAGGGAGGCCAGCTGTGGGGCTCAGGCCTGAAGCCCCAGCACTGTGGGAGGCCGAGGCAGGCGGATCACCTGAGGTCAGGAGTTCGAAACCAGCCTGGCCAACGCTGTGAAACCCTGTCTCTACCAAAAATACAAAAAATCAGCCAGGCGTGGTGGTGGGTGCCTGTAATCCAAGCTGCTTAGGAGGCTGAGGCAGGAGAATCGCTTGAACCCGGGAGGCAGAGGCTGCAGTGAGCCGAGATCACATCACTGCACTCCAGCCTGGGCGACAGAGTGAGGCTCCGTCTCAAAAAAAAAAAAAAAAATCTACAATGTGTTATATGGGTTGTCTTCCTTAGCGTGATACAATAAACTCTGTATGTATCTGTTATAATTCGGATCCGTCAAATTTATTAACTCCATAACCTCCTGGAAACATAGACAAGTACTTTCTTTTTTATCTTTTTTATTTTATATTTTATAGCGTTTTAGGTTTTGGGGTCCACGTGAAGAACATGCAGGATGGCTGCATAGCTACACACGTGGCAGTGTGATGTGCTGCCTTCCTCCCCATCACCTATATCTGCATTTCCCCCATGCTATCTCTCCCCAACTCCCCACCCCATGCTGTCCCTCCCCTATTTCCCCCCAACAGACCCCAGTATGTGACGCTCCCCTCCCTGTGTCCCTGTATTCTCATTGTTCAACACCCGCCTATGAGTGAGAACATGCGGTGTTTGATTTTCTACTCCTGTGTCCGTTTGCTGAGAATGATGGTTTCCAGGTTCATCCATGTCCCTACAAAGGACACAAACTCATCCTTTTTGATGGCTGCGTAATATTCCATGACATATATGTGCCACACTTTCCCTGTCCAGTCTATCATCGATGGGCATTTGGACTGGTTCCAGGTCTTTGCTATTGTACACAGGGCTGCAGTGAACATTCGTGTGCACGTGTCCTTGTAGTAGAATGATTTATAATCCTTTGGATATATACCCAGTCATGGGATTCCTGGACCAAATGGCATTTCTATTTCTAGGTCCTTGAGGAATCGCCACACTGTCTTCCACAATGGCTGAACTAATTGACACTCCCAGCAACAGTGTTAAAGTGTTCCTATTTCTCCACATCCTCTCCAGCATCTGCTGTCTCCAGACTTTCTAATCATCACCATTCTAACTGGCGTGAGATGGTCCAAATGACAGGTCACGCTCAGGGCCTGGCAGTCATGGGCTTTCAGTGACGGCCTGAGAGACTCATTTCCGCTACTGATCACGAGCGGTGATCGTTTCAAGGGAGAGGAACAGGGGCCCTGCTTCGATTCAGAATGTTCCCCAAAGGAGAGATACCATCTGTGACTGATGACTAATTCTCTAGTACATGCTCTGTCAGTTTGTTTCTGCTGGTTTTTTGGGGGGAATGGGGGCTGGGGACAGAGTTTCACCCTCGTAGCCCAGACTGGAGTGCAATGGCGTGATCTCAGCTCACGGCAACCTCTGCCTCCCAGGTTCAAGGCATTCTCCTGCCTCAGCCTCCCCAATGGCTGGGATGACAGGCGCCCACCACCACGCCCAGCTAAGTTTTTTGTATTTTTGATAGAGAAGGGTTTTCTCCCTCTTGGCCAGGCTGGTCTAGAACTCCCGGCCTCAAGTGATCTGCCCGCCTCGGCCTCCCAAAGTGCTGCCGTCACAGGCGTGAGCCGTGGTGCCCCGCAGAACAGAGGTTTATGAATTCTGTCTGTTGGAATGGGCTCTGCTTTGGAGCGAGAGAGAAGAGAAAGAGAAATGGAGGGAAGAGGGAGGGGAGAGAGAGACTCAGGAGCTGCTCGTCTCTGAGATGTGAGCACCAGAGTTTGCTGCCAGGGAGCTGGGTGGAGAGTTTACAGAGCCGGGACCCTCACAGGGAAGGTGGTTTTGTTTTTGTCGTTTTTTTGTTTTTTGAGACAGAGCCTCACTCTTGTCGCCCAGGCTGGAATGCAATGGTGCCATCTCGGCTCGCTGCAGCCTCCACATCCTGGGTTCAAGCGATCCTCCTGCCTCAGCCTCCTGAGTAGCTGGGATCACAGGCACCCGCCACCATGTCCAGCTAATTTTTGTAATTTCAGTAGAGACGGGGTTTCTCCCTGTTGGTCAGGCTGGTCTCGAAGTCACAACCTCAGGTGATCCGCCCGCCTCGGCCTCCCGAAGTGCTGGGGTGGATCCAACAAGGAGAAATGGCTCACACCTGTCATCCCAGCACTTTCGGAGGCCAAGGCGGGCGGATCACCTGAGGTCACAAGTTCAAGTCCAGCCTGGCCAGCATGGTGAAGCCCCGTCTCTACTAAAAATACAAAAATTAGCTGGACGTGGTGGTGGGCGCCTGTCATCTGAGTTACCCGGGAGGCTGAGGCAGGAGGAGAATCGCTTGAACCCGGGAGGCGGAGGTTGCAGTGAGCGCAGATCTCACCACGGCACTCCAGCCTGGGTGACAGAGACGGGAATGAGACCAATCCGGCTACACCTGGAAAGTGTGTCGAAGATTTCTTCCGTGGTGGGTAAAGACCTCGTTCTTTCTTCTGGGTGATTTCGGTGTCTACTGAAAGCATCTGACACCCCTCGCTCGGTGTCAGGGATAGTGACAGACGGTGCTTCTGAATGTGGACGTGGTTTTTCTTTCTTTGCTTTGAGACGGTTTCGCTCTTGTGGTCCAGGCTGGGACAAAGTGGTGAGGTCTCGGCTCACCGCAACCTCCGCCTCCCGGGTTCAAGGATTCTCCTGCCTCAGCCTCCCGAGTAGCTGGGACGACAGGTGGCCCCCCACACCCGGCTGATTTTTTTTTTTTTTTGTATTTTTAGTAGGGACGGGGTTTCTCCATGTCAGCCAGGCTGGTCTCGAACCCTCGACCTCAGTGGATCTGCCTGCCTCAGCCTCCCAGAGTGCTGGGATGACAGGTGTGAGCCCCGACACCCGGCTGGAGTTAGCGAGGTGGACAGCGTCACTGATGTGGGCAATTCCCCTCCGTGATGATGGGGGTTCTCCCAGGCAGGTCCCACCGACTTCAAGCGTCCCCGTACAGCCTGGCCGTTGGGTTTGAGAGCCGTGTGTCCGTCATAACGCCACGTAGGAGCTGTCTTTCATCACGAAGGTAAAGCCGGCAAGAGCGACCACAGCAGCGCCTCGGAGGGGCTGCTGGGGAACCTGCGGGGGTGTCCCAGGGGCCTCGGTCTCCCCGGTCTGTGCCCCGCTGGTCCCAGGGCCCTCGGTGTCCCCGGTCTGTGTCCTGCTGGTCCAAGGGGCCTCGGTCTCCCCGGTCTGCGTCCTGCTGGTCCAAGGGGCCTCAGTCTCCCCGGTCTGTGTCCTGCTGGTCCCAGGGGCCTCAGTCTCCCCGCTCTGTGTCCTGCTGGTCCAAGGGGCCTCAGTCTCCCTGGTCTGTGTCCTGCTGGTCCCAGGGGCCTCAGTCTCCCCGGCCTGTGTCCTGCTGGTCCCAGGGGCCTCAGTCTCCCCGGTCTGTGCCCCGCTGGTCCTGCGTGGGTCGGGCTCGGTGCTGGTCAGCTGCAGCAGCAGGGGCTCCTCAAGGCCGGCGTCGGGCTCCCCGCCCGCCAGGCTGGTCAAGGGGGCCAAGTGCTGGGTGTCTCTGATCCATTCCTGCCGGGAGGAAGAAAGAAAGAGAGAAAGGAAGGGAGGGAGGGAGGGAGGGAGGGAGGGAGGGAACGTTCTGGATCAGAAACAATGGACACAGCACCGACGGTGGCCTGAGTATTTCTGGGTTGGTTGGTTGGTTTGTTACTTGGATTTTCTGTTTGTTTCTGGTTGGTTTTCTTGAGACAGACTCTTGCGGTCGCCCAGGCTGGAGTGCAGTGGTGGGATCCCAGCTCACGGCGACCTCCACCTCCCGGGTTCAAGCGATCCTCCTGCCTCAGCCTCCCAAGTAGCTGGGATTGCAGGTGCCCGCCACCACACCCGGGTAATTTTTTTGTTTTTATTAGAGATGAGGTTTCACCATCTTGGCCAGGCTGGTCTCGAACTCCTGACCTCAGGGGATCTGCCCGCCTCGGCCTCCCACAGGGCTGCCATGTCAGGCGTGAGCCACCGCGCCCAACCCTAACGGTCATCGTCCAACAGGGTCAGAGGGACACACACGTGCGTGGCCCGGCCCTAAATGTCATCATCTGACAGGGTCAGAGGGACACACACGTGCGTGGCCCGGCCCTAACTGTCATCGTCCGACAGGGTCAGAGGGAGATACACGTGCGTGGCCCGGCCCTAAATGTCATCGTCCGACAGGGTCAGAGGGACACACACGTGCGTGGCCCGACGCACCTGCTTGGTGCGGAGAAGGGAAGACGTGGGACCAGGGCGGGTACCTGAAAGTTGCCTTCATGCTTCTCAAAGAGCCCAGGGAAGGTGGATTTCGGGTCTGGCACGCTGGGCATGAGACATTTCTTCAGTCTGAAACGGAGACGGGGAGCGTGGTCACCTGCCATGCAGCCCCCAAGCAGCACGGGCAGGGACCCCAGGGAGAGGTCGAGGCCAGCTGTGGCTGCCCCTCAGAGAGCAGTACCCAGGCATAGAGGGGCCTTCCATGTGAACCCAACACACGTGACCCTCCTCGTCCTCCGCAGAGACCCCACCTCCGGGCCCTCACACAGATCCCACCAGGGCTGGGCAAGATGGCTCACACCCGTCACCCCAGCACTTTGGGAGGCCGAGGCAGTTAGATCCCTTGAGCTCAGGAGTTCGAGACCAGCCTGGCCCACATGGTGAAACCCCGTCTCTACTAAAAATACAAAATTCGCCGGGCGTGGTGGCGGGTGCCTGTCATCCCAGCTACTCGGGAGGCTGAGGCGGGAGAATCGGTTGAACCCGGGAGGTGGAGGTTGCCGTGAGCTGAGATCACACCAGTGCACTCCAGCCTGGGCGACAGAGCGAGACTCCATCTCAAAGAAAAAACAAACAAACAAAAAAAAACCCAAAAAGACTATTTCTCAAGGACGATGCCACGTCTCTCTGCATCTGTACTACGGAGCTAATGCACCATCAGAAAAGTGGGCATTGGTGGAAACTGAGGCTGACGGGCATGACCCCATCAGGGGATTGATCTCCCCGTGCCATAGACGCTCTGGAAGCAGAACCTTCCGGCAGTGCGTGTAAGGCGCTTGGCAGGCGTCGTCCTTACCTCTGTAATCTCCATAAAGACAGGACGAGAAGAGGCAGCGTCGCCAGGAGAGCCACGCTGGAAATTAAACTCATCTGGGGTGGCTTTGCCTTGGGGGGCTTTGGCGTGTCTGAGCATGAATCTGAAACACAATAAAAAGCTGCTGGAAGTTCTGAACACGACGCGATGTCCCAATGACTGCTCATCCCGAACCACCGTCCGCATTTTTTTGTTGTTGTTTTGTTTTCTTGGCTGTGTGTTTTGCATTTTGGGGATTTTTTTTGAGACGGAGTTTCACTCTTGCTGCCCAGGCTGGACTGCGCTGGCGCGATCCCGGCTCACGGCAACGTCCGCCTCCCGGGTTCAAGGGATTCTCCTGCCTCAGCCTCCCGAGTAGCTGGGACTACAGACACCCACCACCACACCCGGATAATTCCGTATTTTAATTAGAGAGTTGGTTTCACCACGTTGGCCAGGCTGGTCTCGAACACCTGACCTGAGGTGATCCGCCCGCCTCGGCCTCCCAAAGTGCTGGGATGACAGGTGTGAGCCACTGGACCTAGCTTCTTCTTTTTTTTTTTTAAATATATCAGTGTCAGCAAATGTTTTATTTTTTTTAATTTTATTTATTTATTTATTTATTTATTTATTTATTTTGGAGACAGAATCTCAGCTCACCGCAACCTCCGCCTCCCAGATTCAAGCGATCCTCCTGCCTCAGCCTCCCGAGTAGCTGGGATGACACACGCCCACCACCGCATCTGGCTAATGTTTGTATTTTTAGTAGAGACGGGGTTTCTCCATGTTGGCCAGGCTGGTCTCGAACCCCTGACCTCAGGGGATCCGCCCACCTCAGCCTCCCAAGGTGCTGGGAGTACAGGTGTGAGGCTCTGTGCCTGGTTTTTTTTTTTTTTTTTTTTTTTCGGTAGTGACGGGTCTGTTTTATTTGTTTGTTTGTTTTAATGAACGCTACTGTGAGCACATTCTGATCGCTCTGGAAGATATTCCGGAGAGACAGACCCTGACTATGGACATGGAAGGGTAGTTCCAACACGAGCCCGTTTTCCTTGGAGGCTTGGGGTGACTGGGGGTGTTTATGGCATATGAGAGCTTGCTGTTGGCTATTGCTGGCCGTGTGCCTTAAATGATGCCCCTGAAAACGTACAAGGTGGCTCACGCCTGCCATCCCAGCACTGTGGGAGGCCGAGGTGGGAGGATCACCTGAAGCTGGGAGTTCTAGACCAGCCTGACCAACATGGGGAAACCCAGACCCTGGTAAAAATACAAAATTAGCCTGGGTGACAAGAGCAAAACTCATCTCAAAAAACAAACAAACAAACAAACAAACAAACAAACCAAAAAAAAAAACGTATGCCCCCTGAAAACATACTTGTTTTTTGAGACGGAGTTTAGCTCTTGGGGCCCAGGCTGGCGTGCAGCGGCGCAGTCTCAGCTCACCACAAGATTCTCCTCCCGGCCTCCAGCGGTCCTCCTGCCTCAGCCTCCTGCGTGGCTGGACTTACAGGCACGCGCCTCCACGCCCGGCTAATCTTGTATTTTTAGAAGAGTCGCGGTTTCTCCATGCTGCTCAGGCTGGTCTCGAACACCCAACCTCAGGTTGCATCCATGCATCGTGTCCATCAACCTGCCTATCTTTTATCCTATGCCATTATATCTGTCTATTGGTGTCTGTGCCTACATCCATTTCTATCTATCATGTATCTGTGTCTTTAGAAAGATACAGATGTCAATATAACAACATGGAGTTGGGTTTTTTTTTTTTTTAATTTTTATTTTTTTCTGTGAGGGAGTCTTGCTCTGTCACCAGGCTGGAGTGCACTGACCCAATCTGGGATCCCCGCAACGTCCACCTCCTGGGTTCAAGCGAATCTCCTGCCTCAGCCTCTCGAGTAGGTGGGATGACAGGTACCCACCACCACGCCCGGCTCATTTTTGCCCACCTGGGTTTCCGGAAGTGTTGGGGTTACAGGCGTGAGCCCCTGCGCACAGCCTATATCTATATATCTTCATAAATATAAATGGATATAAAGACACATCAGGCTGGCCACGGTGGCTCACATCTGTCATCCCAGTACTTGGGGAGGTCGAGGCAGACAGATCACCGAGGTCAGGAGTTCGAGACCAGCCTGGCCCACATAGTGAAATCCCGTCTGTACTAAAAACGGAGAAATTAGCCGGGTGTGGTGTCGGGTGCCTGTGATCTCAGCTGCTCGGGAGGCTGAGGCAGGAGAATCGCTGGAACCCGGGAGGCGGAGGTGGCTGTGAGCGGAAAGGAATGAAGGAAAGGAAGAAAAAAGATAGACAAAGAAGGAAGGAATGAAAGAAAAAGAAAGAGAAAGAGAAGAAAGAAAACAAGGAAGGAAAGAAGAAAGAAAAAGAGAGAAAGAAAGAAAAGAAAAAGAAGAAGAAAGAAGGAAGGAAGGAATCTGTGCACATGTTCTGTTCCATGTAGCGGTGCGCGTGCCGCTGTGCTGCGTAACAAGCATTACCGGTACGCTCTCCTCTTTGCCAGTGCGTCACCTCCGACCAGTCGCTGGGGTACGTGTCTGACCCGTAGGCGGCATCTGAGGCCTTCACCCTCACCCGCAGAGAGTAGCAGTTCTCGGCGTCCAAGCCTTCTATGGTGACATTGCAGGTGTCTCTTTCTTTGGACTGGACACACACACAGACACACACACACACACAAAATGATGAGTGACATATGGGGACTCAGTTTCACTCTTGTCGCCCAGGCGGGAGTGCCGTGGTATGACCCGGGCTCACTGCAGCCTCCGCCTCCAGGGTTCAAGTGACTCCCCTGACTCAGACTCCCAGGTAGCTGGATTCCTGACACCCGCCACCACGCCTGGCTCATTTTTGTGTTTCTAGTAGAGACGGGGTTTCACCATGTTGACCAGGCTGGTCTCGAACTCCTGACCTCGTGATCCGCCCACCTCGGCCTCCCAAAATGCTGGGATGACAGGCATGTGCCACTGTGCGCAGCCTATGACTATGTAATTTTATAGATATAAATGGATATAAAGATTCAGACGCACAGGCCCGGTGTGGTGGCTCACGCCTGTCATCCTAGCACTTTGGGAGGCCGAGGGAGGTGGATAGCCTGAGCTCACGAGTTCCAGACCAGCCTGGGGAAGACAGTGAAACTCTGTCTCTACAAAAACAAAAAACAAACAAAAAAAGATACAGATACACGTTCTATTCTCTGTATCAATGTATACATATGTAGTATGTATGTGTGTAGATATCTATAGGTACCAATAAGATAGCTCTATATGTACATGTCTATGTGTTTGTGTGTATATATGCATATATATATAAGCTGTGTATATAACGTGTGTATATGTATGTGTGTGTATCTAAACTGTATATATAAGGTATGTATATGGCTGTGTATATATGTGTGTATCTAAGCTGTGTATATAAGGTGTGTGTATATATACGCGTATAAGCTGTGCATATGTGTGTGTATATATATATGTCTAAGCTGTGTATATAGGGTGTGTATATATATATGTGTGTGTGTATATATATCTAAGCTGGGTATATAAAGTATGTATATGTGTGTGTGTGTGTGTATATATGTGTATATCTAAGCTGTGTATATAAGGTGTCTATATATGTGTGTATATACGTGTGTATATATATGTGTATATGTAAGCTGTGTAGATAAGGTGTGTATATATGTTTGAGTATATATGTGTGTATCTAAGCTGTGTATATGAGGTGTGTGTATATATGTGTATCTATATGTGTATATCTGTGTATATAAGGTGTGTATATATAGGTGTGTGTATATATATGTGTATATGTAAGTTGTGTAGATAAGGTGTGTATATATGTTTGAGTATATATGTATGTATCTAAGCTGTCTATATGAGGTGGGTGTATATATGTGTGTGTATGTAAATATGTATATCTAACTGTGTATATAAGGTGTGTACATATAGGTGTGTGTATATATATGTGTGTATCTAAGCTGTGTATATAAGGTGTGTATGTATATATGTGTGTGTGTATATTTCTGAATATCTAAGTTGTATATATAAGGTGTGTATATATATGTCTATATATATAAGCTGCGTATATAAGGTATGTATATATGTGTGCATATATATGTGTATACCTAAGCTGTGTAGATAAGGTGTGTATATATGTTTGAGTATATATATGTGTGTATCTAAGCTGTGTATATGAGGTGTGTATAGATAGGTGTGTATATAATGTGTGTGTATGTATATGTGAATATCTAATTGTGTATATAAGGTGTGTATGTATAGGTGTGCGTATATATATGTGTGTATCTAAGCTGTGTATATAAGGTGTGTGTTTAAAAGGTGTTTATATATGGGTGTGTATATATGTGTATAAATCTGTGTATATAAGGTGTTTACATATGTGGTGTATATATGTGTATAAACTGTGTATATAAGGTGTGTATGTATATATGTGTGCATATATAAGGTGTGCATATACATGTGTGTATCTAAGCTGTGTATATAAGGTGTGTATATATGTGTGTATATGTGCATATCTAAGCTGTGTATATAAGGTGTGTATGTATATATGTGTGTATATGTAAGGTGTGCCTATGTATGAGCATATCTAAGCTGTGTGTATAACGTGTGTGTATATATATATATGTGTGTGTATATCTAAGCTGTGTATATAAGGTGTGTATGTATATATGTGTGTATATGTAAGGTGTGCATATACATGTGTGTATCCAAGCTGTGTATATAAGGTGTGTATGTATATGTGTGTATATATGTATATATATATATGTGTATATCTAAGCTGTGTATATAAGGTGTGCATATACATGTGTGTATCCAAGCTGTGTATATGAGGTGTGTATATATGTGTGCATATGTGCATATCTAAGCTGTGTATATAAGGTGTGTGTGTATGTATGTGTGTATATATAAGGTGTGCCTATGTATGAGCATAACTAAGCTGTGTGTATAAGGTGTGTGTATATATGTATGTGTGTGTATGTGTACATGTGTGTGCATACACACACATTTAAGTAGATGTACAGTCATGCATTGCTTAGCCGTGGGAACATGTTCTGAGAAATGCTTTGTGAGGCGATTTCTTCCTTGAGAGAATATTCCAGAGTTTAGCCGGCTGCACACCTAGGCCGTACGGTCCATTGCTCCTGGGCCACGCACCTGTACAGCACATTACTGGACTGAATACTGTAGACAAACCTCACACGAGGGCAAGTGTTGGTGAATCTAAACACATCCAAACACAGGACAGGTACAGGAAAAATATGGCATAGAAGAAAATAATTGGTCCAGCTGAAGACCCAGACGTCCTTAGGCAGCAAGTGACTGTGTGTGCGTCTGTGTGTGTCTGTGTGTCTGTGTGTGTCTGTGTCTGTATGTGTGTCTGTGTGTGTCCGTGTGTGTCTGTGTGTGTCTGTGTGTCTGTGTGTATATGTGTGTGTCTGTGTTTCTGTGTGTGTGTCTGTATGTGTCTGCGTGTATGTGTGTGTGTCTGTGTGTGTCTGTCTCTGTGTGTGTCTGTATGTCTGTATGTGTGTCTGTGTCTCTGTGTGCGTGTATGTGTGTGTGTCTCAATGTGTGTGTCAGTGTGTGTGTCTGTGTGTATCTGTGTCTGTATGTGTGTGTGTGTCTGTGTGTGTGTATGTGTCAGTGTGTGTGTCTGTGTGTGTCTCTGTGTGTGTCTGTCTCTGTGCGTGTCTGTATGTCTGTATGTGTGTCTGTGTCTCTGTGTGTGTGTATGTGCGTGTGTGTCTCAATGTGTGTGTCAGTGTGTGTGTGTCTGTGTGTATCTGTGTCTGTGTGTGTGTGTCTGTGTGTGAGTGTATGTGTCAGTGTGTGTGTCTGTGTGTGTCTCTGTGTGTGTCTGTCTCTGTGCGTGTCTGTATGTCTGTATGTGTGTCTGTGTCTCTGTGTGTGTGTATGTGCGTGTGTGTCTCAATGTGTCTGTCAGTGTGTGTGTGTCTGTGTGTATCTGTGTCTGTATGTGTGTGTGTGTCTGTGTGTGAGTGTATGTGTCAGTGTGTGTGTCTGTGTGTGGCTCTGTGTGTGTCTATGTGCCTGTGTGTGTCTGTATCTGAGTGTGTGTCTGTGTATGTATCTGAGTGTGTGTGTGTGTCTGTGTCTCTGAGTGTGCGCGTGTATGCCTGTGTGTGTCTATGTGTATGTCTCTGTGTGTGTATGTCTGTGCGTGTGTGTCTGTGTGTACATAGACAGAGATGGAGATACAGAGAGATAGGAATAGAGGGAGATAGATAAACAAATGATAGGTAAATAAATAGATAAAACAGAGATGCTAGATTTCATAGATGATAGATACATAGACAGACAGACGGATAGATTGACACAGATGATAGATAGATGGATAGATGGATAGATAGACATATAGATAAACAGATAGATCCATAGATAGATGATACAGAGAGACGACAGGTACATACATCCACACATATGGTGATAGATAAATACAGAGATCGATAGGATAGGAGGTGATAGAACATAGAGAAATAACAGGTAGCCAGGCAGATCGAGATGACAGATGAGGTAGAGAGTATGACCCAGACGATCGATAGGGCATAGATAGATAAACCAGATACAGATAGAGGAGTAGACAGATAGAACTGAGACAGTCGATACGTAAAATAGAGAGATGATAGATTGAAAGATACAGAGATAGAGACAATAGATACAAATAGATGACAGATAGAGAAATAGATACATACATACATACATATATACATCAATTGATAGATCCGTAGATGGATAGATACATAGATAGATAGATGATAGATAGATACGTACATATATAGATCAATAGATAGATAGACAGATGGATAGATACATAGATAGATGAATATAGATAGATGATAGATATACACATACATGTGTATAGATTAATTGATAGATAGATTCATAGATAGATAGATGGATAGACAGATGAACGGACAGACAGGTGGATAGATAGATAGATAGATACATAGATAAACAGATGAACAGACAGACGGATGGCTAAATGGATAGATAGACACACAGATAAATAGATAGACATAGATAGATGATAGATAGATGGATAGATAGACATATATATAAATAGATAGATGATAGATAGATCCATAAATTGATAGATCAATGGATAGATACATAGATAGATGAATAGATATAGATAGGTGATAGATACACACATACATATGTTTATAGATCAATTGATACCTAGATAGATCCATAGATAGACAGACAGATGGATAGATAGATGAACAGACAGACAGATGGATAGATAGATAGATAGATAGGTAGGTAGGTAGATAGACATAGATAGATGATGGAAAGATAGATAGATGGATAGATAGACATATAGATAAATATATAGATGATAGATCCATAGACAGATAGGTAGACATATACACAGATAGACAGATAGATGATAGATAGATGAATAGATAGATAGATATAGATAGATAAACAGATGGATAGACACATAGATAAAGAGATGATAGATCCATATATAGATAGATGAACAGCAGATGGATGGATAGATGGATAGATAGACACATAGATGGATAGATAGACACGGTAATTTGGCTGTGTAAATAGATAGACATAGATGATAGATAGATAAACAGACACATGGAGAGATGAATAGATAGACACATAGATAAACAGATGATAGATAGATCCATATATAGGTAGATGAACAGCAGATGAATGGACAGATGGATAAGTAGACACATCAACAGGCAGATGGATGACAGATAGATTCATAGATAGATAGATGAACGGCAGACGAATGGACAGATGGATAAGGAGACACATGAACAGACAGATGGATGACAGATAGATTCATAGATAGATAGATGAACAGCAGACGAATGGACAGATGGATAAGTAGACACATCAACAGACAGATGGATGACAGATAGATTCATACATAGATAGATGAACGGCAGACGAATGGATAGATGGATAAGGAGACACATGAACAGACAGATGGATGACAGATAGATTCATACATAGATAGATGAACGGCAGACGAATGGATAGATGGATAAGGAGACACATGAACAGACAGATGGATGACAGATAGATTCATACATAGATGAACAGCAGACGAATGGACAGATGGATAAGTAGACACATCAACAGACAGATGGATGACAGATAGATTCATAGATAGATAGATGAACAGCAGACGAATGGACAGATGGATAAGGAGACACATGAACAGGCAGATGGATGACAGATAGATTCATAGATAGATAGATGAACGGCAGACGAATGGACAGATGGATAAGGAGACACATCAACAGGCAGATGGATGACAGATAGATTCATAGATAGATAGATGAACGGCAGACGAATGGACAGATGGATAAGGAGACACATCAACAGGCAGATGGATGACAGATAGATTCATAGATAGATGAACAGCAGACGAATGGACAGATGGATAAGGAGACACATCAACAGGCAGATGGATGACAGATAGATTCATAGATAGATAGATGAACAGCAGACGAATGGACAGATGGATAAGGAGACACATGAACAGGCAGATGGATGACAGATAGATTCATAGATAGATGAACGGCAGACGAATGGACAGATGGATAAGGAGACACATCAACAGGCAGATGGATGACAGATAGATTCATAGATAGATAGATGAACGGCAGACGAATGGACAGATGGATAAGGAGACACATGAACAGACAGATGGATGACAGATAGATTCATACATAGATAGATGAACAGCAGACGAATGGACAGATGGATAAGGAGACACATCAACAGCCAGATGGATGACAGATAGATTCATAGATGGCTAGACAGACTGATGGACGGACAGCCAAACTGTCGGCTCTCTTTCTCTGGAGCCCCCTCAGAGACACAGAGAGAGTCACAGACAAGTCACGCTGGACTAGAGCTGTCTCAGGAAGAGACAGCAGAGTGGAATTCAGGTCCCGAGGGGATCTGGGGTCTGATCAGCACCACGTCCCACAGCCCGTATCCGGGGGACACTCAGCCACCACGGCCGCCCGCCTCACCTGCCACTTGGAGTCGAATCTGCTCTGGTGCTGGACCTCGTAGACGAGATACTTGTACATCAGGTCAGGACACGTCACTGTGACTGCGTCGCGACGCCACTCGAAGCTCACGGCCTTCGGGGAGCCGGGTTTCACTGAGAAGAAGAAATAAGAGAACCATCACCTCACAGGGAGAACCCCACATCCCTCCCCGCTGAGCGGAGCGCCTCAGGCCTGCCATCCCAGCACTGTGGGAGGCCGAGGCAGGGGGATCACCTGAGGTCGGGAGTTCGAGACCAGCCTGGCCAACATGGTGAAACCCCGTCTCTACTAAAAATACAAAAATTAGCCGGCGTGGTGGGAGGTGCCTGTCATCCCGGCTCCTCGGGAGGCTGAGGCAGGAGGATCGCTTGAACCCGGGAGGCGGAGGTTGCCGTGAGTGAAGACCCCGCAATGGCAGTGCAGCCTGGGGGACACACTGAGAAAAGAAAGAAAAGAAAGAGAGGGAGAGAGAGAACGAAAACCCAGTGGCTGAGATGAGGGTGAGAGAGCATTTCCTGCTCTTTCTGTGTGTCTGTGTGCGTATGTGCGTCTATGTGTGTCTGTATCTGTGTGTGTGTCTGTGTGTGTATGTCTGTATGTGTGCATGTGTCTGTCTCTGTGTATCTGCATCTGTATATGTGTCTGTGTGTGTCTCTGTGTGTATATGTGTGTCTGTGTGTTTGCGTGCCTGTGTGTGCCTCTGTGTGTCTGTGTCTGTGTGTATATGTGTGTCTGTGTCTGTATGTTTGTGTGTCTATGTTGTCTGTCTGTGTGTCTGTGTTTGTATGTATGTCTGTGCCTGTGTGTGTAAGTGTGTCTCTATGTGTATACGTCTCTGTGTTTGTGTAACTGTGTGTGTCTGTGTGTATATGTGTCTGTGTGTCTGTGTGTGTCTGTGTGTCTATGTGTGTCTGTGTGTCTGTGTATGTCTGTGCATCTGTGTCTGTGTGTGTATGTGTCTGTATGTGTGTCTGTGTCTGTCTCTGTGTGTGTATCTGCATCTGTCTGTCTGTGTGTGTCTTTTTGTGTATATGTGTGTCTGTGTGGGTGTGTTTATATGTGTGTCTGTGTCTCTATGTATGTGTGTTCTGTGTGTTTGTGTGTCTGTGTGTCTGTGTCTGTGTGTATATGTATGTCTCTCTGTGTATATGTGTCTCTATGTTTGCGTGCCTCTGTGTGTGTGTGTGTGTGTGTGTGTGTGTGTGTGTGTGGGCAAGGGCACCACAGGGCATCTCTGATTCATTCCCCTATTTATTTATTTATTTATTTGAGATGGAGTCTCACTGTGTTGCCCAGGCTGGAGTGCAGTGGTGTGATCTCGGCTCACTGGAATCTCTGCCTTCCGTGTTCAAGCGATTCTCCTGCCTCAGCCTCCCCACTAGCTGGGATTACACACGCGTGCAACCACCACGCCTGGCTAATTTCTTTGTATTTTTTAGTAGAGAAGGGGAGGTGAGCTTGATTTTCAATCGCTACAGTAATCCATTGATCCGGCGACTGCTATGAGCTTGCTTTTCAGTACTTACGGGAATGAGCTGAAGAAAGTACTGAAAAGTGTGACGGGGCTGCTTTACTATAGTTGTGGTAATCATTGATCCTGCGACCAGCATGAGCTTGCTTTGCAGTAGTGACGGGACTGAGCAGAAGGAAATACTGAAAACTATGGTGGCCGTGCTTTAGAATAGTTGTGGTAATCATTGATCCGGGGACTGGCCTGAACTCGCTTTCCAGTACTTACGGCAATGAGCTGAAGGAACTATTGAAAAGCATAGTGGGCTTCCTTTAGAATCGTTATGGTAATCATTGATCCGGTGATTGGCATGAGCTTGCTTTCCAGTACTTACTTGACGGAGCTGATGAAAATACTGAGAAGTATGGTGGGCCTGCTTTATAATAGTTATGGTAATCATTGATCCGGCTAACGGCATGAGCTTGCTTTCCAGTACTTACGGGAATGAGCTGAAGGAAATACTGAAAACTATGGTAGGCGTGCTTTAGAATAGTTGTGGTAATCATTGATCCGGGGACTGGCTTGAGCTCGCTTTCCAGTACTTACAGCAATGAGCTGAAGGAAATACTGAAAAGCATAGTGGGCTTCCTTTAGAATCGTTATGGTAATCATCGATCCGGCGACCGGCATGAGCTCGCTTTCCAGTACTTACGGGAATGAGCTGACGGAAACACTGAAAAGCATGGTGGGCTCGCTTTAGGATAGTTAGGGTAATCATCGATCCGGCGACCGGCATGAGCTTGCTTTCCAGTACTTACGGGAATGAGCTGAAGGAAATACTGAAAACTATAGTGGGCTCGCTTTAGGATAGTTGTGGTAATTATTGATCAGGCTACCGTCATGAGCTCGCTTTCCAGTACTTACGGGAATGAGCTGAAGGAAATACTGAAAACTATGGTGGGCTCGCTTTAGGATAGTTGTGGTAATTATTGATCAGGCTACCGTCATGAGCTTGCTTTCCAGTACTTACGGGAATGAGCTGAAGGAAATACTGAAAACTATAGTGGGCTCGCTTTAGGATAGTTGTGGTAATTATGGATCCGGCGACCGGCATGAGCTCGCTTTCCAGTACTTACGGGAATGAGCTGAAGGAAATACTGAGACGCACGGTGGGCTCGCTTTAGGATACTTACGGTACTCATAGATCCAGCGACTGGCGCTGAAAACGGGGTGCGTCCCGTTCCGGATGGAGAAACTGAGAATGTCGTCTTTCTGCTGTGCGTGTAGGAGGCACCCCGAAGTGTGACCCTGGTGGACGATGTACTTGGGGCACTGGTGATAGGCCTCATCGGAGTGGAATCTGGGGTGGAAAATGACACCAGTCACCAATATTCCCTCCTTCCCTCCCTCCTTCTGCCTTTTTTCCGTCTGGCTCTGTCCCCCCCACCCCCTGCCATGTCGGCCCCCCGCAGCCTCCGCCTCCGGGGCTCCAGCGATTGTCCGGGCTCAGCCTCCTGAGATAATGTTTCCATTTTTAGTAGACATGGGGTTTGACCATGTGGACCGGGCTGGTCTTGAACTCGTGACTTCAGGGGATCCACCCGCCGTGGCCTCCCAAAGTGCTGGGATGACGGGGCATGAGCCACCACGTCCTGTGTGCTTGTGTCTGTGTGTGTCTGTCTGTGTGTGTCTGTGTGTGTGTCTGTGTGTGTGTCTGTCTACGTCTGTGTGTGTATGTGTGTCTCTGTGTGTGTGTCTGTGTGTGTGTGTCTGTGTGTGTGTCTGTATCTGTGTATTTGTGTGTGTGTGTCTGTGTGTGTCTCTGTATCTGTGTATTTGTGTGTGTGTCTGTGTGTGTATCTGTGTCTGTGTGTCTCTGTGTATCTGTGTCTGTGTGTGTGTGTCTGTGTGTATCTGTGTGTGTGTATCTGTGTCTGTGACTCTGTGTGTGTCTCTGTGTGTGTCTGTGCGTCTCTGTGTCTGTGTGTGTGTCTGTGTTTGTGTCTGTATCTGTGTATTTGTGTGTTTGTGTCTGTGTGTGTATCTGTGTCTGTGTGTGTCTCTGTGTATCTGTGTCTGTGTGTGTGTCTGTGTGTCTGTGTGTATCTGTGTGTGTATCTGTGTCTGTGACTCTGTGTGTGTCTCTGTGTGTGTCTGTGTGTCTCTGTGTCTGTCTGTGTGTCTCTGTGTCTGTGTGTGTGTGTCTGTGTCTCTGTGTGTGTCTCGGTGTCTGTGTGTCTGTGTGTATCTGTGTCTGTGTCTGTATCTGTCTGTGTGTCTGTGTGTATCTGTGTGTGTTTATCTATGTGTCTGTATCTGTATCTCTGTGTGTGTGTGTGTGTGTGTGTGTGTGTGTGTGTGTAGGCAAGGGTACCGCAGGGCATCTCTGATTCATTCCCGTATTTATTCATTTATTTCAGAAGAAGACTCGCTCTGTTGCCCCGGCTGCCTTCCGAGTTCAACTGTTTTTTTGTTTTTTTTCTTTAATAGCATGGAACCCACACAGCGGCCGTTTCTCACTGCACATTGTCACCTGGTCCCCAGCTAGGATCTCTCGTCACTGACTTCAGTGACCCTTCCTGACAGCCAACTAAGCCAGACCTGTGCAAGGAGAAAACCGTCCTCTCTCACAAGTGCTTGAACCCCTCGAAGGCTTCCTGTACGGGGCCGCACTGTAACCTTGCAGAATTCACGCTCTGTGACGTCCCCAGTCCCAGAACCTGGGAACAGAATCTTACCCACAAACAGGGTCTTTGCAGATACGATTAGGTCAGGACTGAAATAAAAGCATCCTGGGTGACTGTGAGCCCGCAATCCCATTAGAATATTTTTATGGCCGGACACGGTCGCTCACCCCTGGAATCCCAGCACTTTGGGAGGCCGAGGCGGGCCGGGTTCAGGCAAATCTCCTGCCTCAGCCTCCCGAGTAGCTGGGATTGATGATAGGCGGCCGCCAGCATGCCCAGCTATTTTTTTTTTTTTTTTTTTGGTACTTTTAGTAGAGATGGGTTTCATCATGTTGGCCAGGCTGGTCTTGAACTCCTGACCTTGTGATCCACCTGCCTCGGCCTCCCCAAGTTCAAATCCCAGCACTTTCGAAATCTGAGGCAGGTGGATCACCTGAGGTCAGGAGTTCGAGAGCAGCCTGGCCAACATGGTGAAACCCTGTCTCTACTAAAAATATGGAATATTACCCAGGCGTGGTGATAGGTGCCGGCAATCCCAGCCACAGGGGAGGCTGAGGCAGGAGGATCGCTTGAACCGGGGAGGCGGAGGTCGCAGTGAGCTGAGATCACAGCACTGCACTCCAACCCGGGCGATAGAGCGAGACTCCAAAAATTAAATAAAACTAAAATAGATAAATCAATAAATACAGGCTGGGTGTGGTGACTCACACCTGTAACTTCAGCACTTTGGGAGGCCGGGACAGGTGAATCACCTCAGGTCAGGAGTTCGAGACCAGCCTGGCCAACATGGTGAAACTCCGTCTCTACTAAAAATACAAAAATTAGCTGGATGTGGAGGCACGCCCCAGTAACCCCAGCTACTCCAGAGGCGGAGGCAGGAGAATAGCTTGAACCTGGGAGGCGGAGGTTGCGGTGAGCCGAGATCGCGCCACTGCACTCCAGTTTGGGCAAGAGAGCAACACTCCATCTCCAAAAAAAAAAGAAAGAAAATGAATAATGTAGGTGATCTTCCTGACTCACCTATCCCTCAGCAAGAAGGTTGGGGAAACGGGCTTGTGGTTTTGGTGAGGGCTGAGGGTGACGCAGAACAAACATTGAGACTTTCAGAGTCTGAAGCTTCACACCTTCGATTTCTGTCATTCCCGAATTGCAGACGGCTCAGAAGAGCCACCTGGGCGCCACCCCCACGTCAGGATTCGCTTTCTGACAGCATTCACCTGTAACAGAACGTCAAGCTGGTCCCAGAGTATTCGCTGGCGTTCCAAGTGATTTGCACGACTTCTAAATTGAAGTAGATGATCTGAACTTGTATTCTTTCTCCTGCACACAGAGAGACACAGGTAGAAACGTAACGAAAAGAAGCCAGCACTTTCATCCTAACAATGAGACGCTCATTTACAAACGACAGAGGACTGGCCACAGCTGTCACCCCAGCACTTTGGGCGGCCGAGGAGGGTGGATCAGCTGAGGTCGGGAGTCCAAGACCAACCTGGCCAACATGGTGAAACCCCGTCTCTCCTAAAAATACAAAAATTAGCCAGACGTGGTGGAGGGCACCTGTACTCCCAGGTGCAAAAAAAAAAAAAAAGAAAGAAAGAAAGAAAGAAACAAAGAAAGAAAACAACAGAAAAAGAAATAAGTCCTTCCATCTTTGCTTGAAACGTTACTTAGACTTCACTAAGTTTGAGGTTTCAAGATGTCCTGGTTTGCAATTCAGAAAGTGGTCAATGGGGATCTTTCAAGATACAGCAAATATGTGGTGATATTTTGGACGATGGGAGCCACGTCTGTCACTGTCAGAGAAGTCAGTTACAGGTTTGGAATACAGGCTAGAGTGAAACTCACCATGCTGGAGTCTAAGTGGACGTATCTGTGGGGTAGGATAGATAGTAATACTAGATAGATAGAGTTGTATAGAGGATGATAGAAATAGACAGAAACAGACACATAGGATGGCTGGGTGGATGGATGAATAGATGGACAGGTGGGTGTACAGACGGAAGGTAAGTGGATGGATGGGTGGATGCGCGAGTGGATTCATGCTTAAATGGATGAACAGATAGGTGGATGGCTGGGTGAATGCGTGGATGGATATGGAGATGTGTACGTGGATGGGTGGGTGCACAGATGTATTAGTGGATGGATGGATGGATGGCTGGATGGAAGGATGGATAGTAGATGGTTGGATGACAGATTGATGGGTGGATGGATGGGTTGATGGGTGGGTGGATATGGAGATGTGTACATGAATGGGTGTGTGGATGGATGTATTGGTGGATGGAGGGATGGACGGATGTATAGTAGATGGGTGGATAAAGGATTAATGGGTGGATGGATGGATGGATAAGTGCATGACAGAATGGATGGGTGCATGGGCGTACTAGTGGATGGATGGATGGATGGATGGATGGATGGATGGATGGATAAGTGGATGACAGAATGGGTGGGTGCGTGGATGTATTGGTGGATTGATGGATGGATTGATGGATGGATGGACGGATGGATGGATGGATGCATGGACGGATGGATGGATGGATGGATGGATAAGTGGATGACAGAATGGGTGGGTGCATGGATGTATTGATGTATGGATGGATGGATGGACGGATGGATGGATAGATGGATGGATAAGTGGATGACAGAATGAGTGGGTGCATGGATGTATTGGTGGATTGATGGATGGATGGATGGATGGATGGATGGATGGATGGATGATGGATGGATGGATGGATGGATGGATGGATGGATGGATGGATAAGTGGATGACAGAATGGGTGGGTGCATGGATGTATTGGTGGATTGATGGATGGATGGATGGATGGATGGATGGATGGATGGATGATGGATGGATGGACGGATGGATGGATGGATGGATGGATAAGTGGATGACAGAATGGGTGGGTGCATGGATGTATTGGTGGATTGATGGATGGATGGATGGATGGATGGATGGATGGACGGATGGATGGATGCATGGATAAAAGTGCGGGTAAATGCATGGGTGGATGGATGGTTTGATGGGTGGGTGCGGGGATGTATTGGTGGATGGATGGATGGATGGCTCATAGATGGGTGGATGGTAGGTGGATGGTTCGATAGATGGACAAGCGGATAGATGGACGTGTGTGAAAGGGTGAGTGGATGGATGGGTGGGTGGATGGGTGGATGGGTGGGTGGGTTTATGGGTGGGTAAATGCCTGGGTGGACGGAGGCTTCGATGAGGGGGTGGATGGATGGTGGATGGATGGATGGAAAATAGATGAATGAGTGGTGGATGGATGGATAGAAGACGAATGGGAAAAGTCAGATGAGATCAATTGATGGATAGTTTAAAAATTAATATATCTACCCATCAATCCATCAAGAGATAAACACTCAGACACACAGCCACACACACACACACAGCCACACACACACACAGAATTCCTAGTGTAGTTCTGGCTACCAAGAGGGCATGTGTCTCACCGCAGCTACTTGGCAAGTTGAGGCAGGAAAATTGCTTGAACCCGGGAGGGGGAGGTTGCAGTGAGACAAGATCACGCCAGGGCCCTCCAGCCTGGGCGACCGAGCGAGACACCGTCTCATAACTAACAAAAAGAAATGAATGAGTGAAGGCTGCAGACTCACTGTTGAGTCTGAAAGAAGCGCCTGGTTGCAAAGGAAACCCGAAACCCCAACTGCGAGAAGAGGGTGTTTGAATAAAGGACGTTGGAGGCGGGGGAGCGGCTGTGTCTTACCTGTGGCATCTTGCCCCGAAGTCACCCGGCCTCCCTCCAGGACGGCGGCAGCTCCGCACAGCAGAAGGAGCGTCCTCATGCCTGGAACGGGCGCAGGAGTGAGGCCCGCGGGCACCCACGGGGAGGAGAAGTGAGGCCCGTGGGCACCCACGGGGAGGAGGAGTGAGGCCGCGGGCACCCACCGGGAGGAGAAGTGAGGCCCGTGGGCACCCACGGGGAGGAGGAGTGAGGCCGCGGGCACCCACGGGGAGGAGGAGTGAGGCCGCGGGCACCCACGGGGAGGAGGAGTGAGGCCGCGGGCACCCACGGGGAGGAGGAGTGAGGCCGCGGGCACCCACGGGGAGGAGGAGTGAGGCCCGTGGGCACCCACGGGGAGGAGGAGTGAGGCCGCGGGCACCCACGGGGAGGAGGCCGCCGTGACTCACCGGCACAGGTCACTCCCTTTTTAAAAAGGCAGAAAGGAAGCCACGGATTCGATAACACGCAGGAAACAGAGTGACGCTTCGTTGGCAAAGATACGCTTGTCAAGAGCACACACGCAGACACACGCAGACAGAGACACACACAGACACACACACAGACGCAGACACAGACACACAGACACACGGACAGACACACACAGACACACAAACACACAGACACACACAGAAACACACACACAGACACACATACATAGACACACACACACAGACACACAGACAGACACACACACAGACACACAGACACACACACAGACACACACATAGACGCAGACACACACACACAGACACACGGACAGACACACACACAGACACACAAACACACAGACACACACAGAAACACACACACAGACACACACACAGACAGAGACACACACACAGACACACACACACAGACACACAGGCACACACACAGACACACACATAGACGCAGACACAGACACACAGACACATGGACGGACACACACACAGACACACAAACACAGACACACACAGAAACACACACACAGACACACACAGAGACACACACAGAGACACACACACACAGACACACAGGCACACACACAGACACACACATAGACGCAGACACAGACACACAGATACATGGACGGACACACACACAGACACACAAACACACAGACACACACAGAAACACACACACAGACACACAGGCACACACACAGACACACACAGGCACACAGGCACACACAGACACACAGACACACACACAGACGCAGACACAGACACACAGACAAACACACAGACAGACACAGACAGACACACACAGACACACACACACACACAGACACACAGACACACACAAACACACAGACGCAGACACACAATCCAGGATGAGGATGTACACACGTGCTGCTGAGCCCTCCCCTCCCTCCCCTCCCTCCCCTCCCTCCCTCCCCTCCCTCCCCCCCTCCCTCCCCCCTCCCTCCCCTCCCTCCCCTCCCTCCCCCCTCCCTCCCCTCCCTCCCTCCCCCTCCCCCTCCCCTCCTCTCCTTCCCTTTTCTCCTGTCTTTGCTTTTGTTTTCATTTCTCTGCCCCATGTTTCCTTTCTCGACACAGAGTCTCACTGTCCCCCAGGCTGGACTGCCGTGGTGTGATCTCAGCTCACTGCAGCCTCCGCCTCCCGGGTTCAAGCGATCCTCCTGCCTCAGCCTCCCCAGTAGCTGGGATCACAGGCGCCTGCCTCCACGCCCGACTAGTTTTTGGATTTTTAGTAGAGACGGGGTTTCTCCATGTTGGCCAGGCTGGACTCGAACTCCTGGACTCAAGTGATCCTCACACCTCAGCCTCCCAAAGCACTGGGGTGACAGGTTTGAGTCACTGCACCTGGCCTGAGCTTTTCGTGAAAGCGTATCACACGCCAGCCTGGCCAACATGGTGAAACCCCATCTGTATTTTTTAAAAACATACAAAAATTAGCCAGCTGTGGCGGTGCGTGCCTGTCATCCCAGCTACTCGGGAGGTCGAGTCAGGAGAATCGTTTGAACCCGGGAGGCGGACGTTGCGGTGACCCGAGATCGCGCCGTTGCACTCCAGCCTGGGCGACAGAGCCAGACTCTTTCTCAAAAAAGACAAGAAAAAAAAAAAAATAGCATATTGCATGCTAACTTTTTTTTTTTTTTTTGAGACAGAGTTTCTCTGCCCTTGCCCGGGCTGGAGTGCGATGGCGCGATCTCGGCTCACCGCAACCTCCGCCTCCCGGGTTCAAGCGATTCTGCAGCCTCAGCCTCCCGAGTAGCTGGGATCCCAGGCGCCCCCCCCACCACGCCCGGCTAATTTTTGTATTTTTAGTAGAGATGGGGTTTTGTCATCTTGGCCACGCTGGTCTCGAACTCCTGACCTCAGGCGATCCACCTGCCTCGGCCTCCCAGAGTGCTGGGGTGACAGATGGGAGCCCCCTGACCCGGCCCACAGGCTAACTGTCTAAGCCTGGGAATCACGTTCTCTGCTAAACGCTGACCACCCGGCATGAGTGTGCGACTGTGTGGTGTGCAGTGTGTGACGTTTTCCGCACTCAAGCTGGGCTGGACATCCAGAGTTGACAGGTCCTCTACCTCCAGCCACACGCGGAGTTCACCGTCACCGCGGACCAGCTGCCCAGACCAAGGGGCCCAGCTGGTGGGCATTCTCCTCGTGACACCACAAACACTTTGATGGTAACACTCTGGATAGATGGCCTCCCAGTTTAAGGCCGTAAGGGCCGGGATCACCTGACGTCAGGAGTTCAAGACCAGCCTGACCAACATGGCGAAACCCCGTCTCTACTAAACATCCCAAAATTAGCTAGACACGGTGGTTTATGCCTGTAAACCAGCACTCTAGGAGGCTGACGCAGGTGGATCACCTGAGGTCGGGAGTTCAAGCCCAGCCCGGCCAAGATGGCAAAACCCCATCTCTACTAAAAATACAACAATTTCCTGGACGTGGTGACTCACGCCTATAAACCTCAGCCCTTTGAGAGGTCGAGGCAGGCGGATCAAGTCAGAGTGGGAGTTCGAGACCAGCCTTGCCAACATCCAGAAACCCCGTTTCTACTAAAAATGCAAAAATTAGCTGGACGTGGTGACTCACACCTGTAATCCCAACACTCTGGGAGGCTGAGGCAGGTGGATCACCTGAGGTCGGGAGTCCGAGACCAGCCTGGCCAACACGGAGAAACCCCGTCTCCACCAAAAATACAAAAAAGTAGCCAGGTGTGGTGGTGGGCACCTGGGCTCCTAGCTACATGGGAGACTGAGGCAGGAGAATCGCTTGAACCCGAGAGGTAGAGGTTGTGGCGAGCTGAGATCATGCCACTGCACTCCAGCCTGGGCAACAAGAGCGAAACTCCATCTCAAAAAGATAAATAAATAAAACACAAAAATTAGCCAGATGTGGAGGCAGGCACCTGTCAACCCAGCTACTCTTGAGAATCCCTTGAACCCTGAAGGCGGAGGTTGCAGTGAGCTGAGATCATGCCATTGCACTCCGACCTGGGTGACGAGAGGGAAACTCCGTCTGAAAAAATTAATATATATATATATGTTCTGTAGGAGGAGATGAATCATGAATACACACGTGTGCCCTGCACATGGTCATGGTGAGCGCCGGGGAAAGGGGAAGTGGAGAGGGAGGGAGGGCAGAGGCAGAAGTGCCCATTTCTGTGGTCAGGAAGGTTTTTGGATGGGGGAGCTTCCGACGTAAAGGAAGATGCCATGGCCTCTGCCCTGGTGATGTTTGAGCTGCGTGGTCTATCACAGGGTGTTGGGCGGGACCCATGACCTCCACCCACTAAAGGTCAGCTGCAACCTCCTCCCTCTCAGCTGTGACAACCAAAAATTCCACTGACGTGGCCAAGAGTTCCCTGGGGGGTGGAATCACCCCTGATTGTCCACCACTGCCTTACATAGATAGATAGATACATGATGGATAGATAGATGATGGATAGATACATAGATACGTGGATAAATGAAGGGATAGATAGATAATAGATGATGGATAGATAGATACATGAATAAATGAATGGATAGATAACAGATAGATAGATGGATAGATAGATGATGGATGGATACATAGATACGCGAATAAATGAATGGATAGATAATAGATAGATGGATAGATAGATACGTAGATACATGGATAAATGAATGGATAGATAGATAATAGATGGATAGATACATAGATACGTGGATAAATGAATGGATAGATAATAGATAGATAGTTGATGGATAGATACGTAGATACATGGATAAATGAATGGATAGATAGATAATAGATGATGGACAGATAGATGAATACATAGATGATGGTTAGATACATAGATACATGGATAAATGAATGGATAGATAGATGATGGATAGATAGATGGATAGATAGATGATGGATAGATACACAGGTACGTGGATGAATGAATGGTTAGATAGATAATAGATAATGGATAGATAGATACATGAATAAATGAATGGATAGATAATACATAGATAGATAGATAGATAGTTAGATGATGGATAGATATGTAGACACATGGATAAGTGAATGGATAGATAATAGATAGATGATGGATAGATACATAGATATGTGGATAAATGAATGGATAGATAATAGATAAGTAGATAGTTGATGGATAGATACGTAGATACATGGATAAGTGAATGGATAGATAATACATAGATGATGGATAGATACATAGATACATGGATAAATGAATGGATAGATAATAGATACATAGATGATGGATAGATAGATGGATAGAGAGATGATGGATGGATTAGATAAATAGATGGATAGATGACAGATACATAGACACACAGACAAATGGATAGATGATAGATAGATAGATAGATAGATAGATAGATAGATAGATAGATAGATGAATCCATAGGTTAATGGACAGATAGATAATATTATTAGATACATAGATAGAAAGATAAAACAATGGATGGGTAGATAGGTAAATGAGTGAATGTGAATAGATAAATAAATGGATATGTAGAGGCATGCATGGATAGATAGATGACTGATAAATAGATGAATGGATAGATAGATGATAAATATATGGATGCATGAATGGGTAGATAGTTCATTGATAGATACATAGATAATA